GACACCTTCTATTACCCCAGGGTGCTCCAAGCCCCACCCAGCCTGGTCTAGAACACTTCCAGGGATCCAGGGACAGCCACAGCTCCCAGCACTTGAACACAACCTCAGCATTATTTTCTTATCAGCTGTGTGTTATCAGCACAACCAATTGTGAAGATGGTGAAAACTGCCTCCATCCCAAAGGCCATGGGGATGGAAACAATGAGAACTCGAGATGTTCTTGGGGTTCTTGGGAAAATCTTGATGGTTCTTGGGGCTGCCCTGTGCAGGGCCAGGAGCTGGACTCTGATGATCCTTGTGGATCCCTTCCCACTCAGGAGGTTCCAGGATTCTGTGGCTGTGTGTTGCCCATGCTGTGTTTTATGCTCCTACTGCACCTCACGAGGTACCCAGGGGATGTTGAGGCTGCCCCTGAGCCTGAGGCTCCAGTGCTTCTCCAGGTGGGGATTGTCACCAGAGCCCCTCTGGTGTCACCTCTGGGTGGACATGTCTGCACAGCATCCCCGTGGTGCCCCTTTGTGCATCCCCTCATCCCCTCTGCTTCCTCCTGCCCTACCAAAATAGCCTGAAATGGGAAACTGAGGGGGCCATGCTGTGAACTGGAAGGGGGAACTTCTCAACTTCAAGAAAAAACCCCACAATGTCAGAGGAGTTTTAAGCCTTCTTGGTTCCCCACGAGCAGGCCTGGGGACACACTTTTTGCCATCATGCTGCCACCCACCAGCCCAGGAAGGAGGCATTATTAATTATAGGCTAATTAATTACAGGCTGTGGAGCTGGGTGTACAGAAACCTGAGGAGGTTCAGCAAGGGAAGAGTCCTGCACCCGGGGAGGAGCAACCCCAAATGCCAGCACAGGCTGGGAGTGACCCTGGAGAGCAGCTCTGCAGAGAAGGGCCTGGGGGTCCTGGTGGATGACAAACTGTCCCTGAGCCAGCAGAGTGTCCTGGGGCCGGGGGGACAATGGGACCCCGGGGGACATCTGGGAAGAGTGTGGCCAGCAGGGCAGGGAATGATCCTGCCCCTCACTCGGCTGCAGTGAGGCACAGCTGAGGTGCTGTGTCCAGTTCTGGGACAAGAAGGACAAGGAGGACAAGGAGCTACTGGAGAGGGTCCAGCAGAGGCCCCAAAGATGATTTGGGGTTTGGAGCATCTGTGAGGAGAGACCACGGGAGCTGGGCTTGGTTAATCCAGAGAAGACTGAGAGGAGATCTCACCAATCCATACAAGTATCTCCAAGGGGTTTCAAAGGATGGTGCCAGACTCTGTTCTGGTGCCCAGCAACAGGACAAGGAGCAGTGGCCATAAACTAAACCACCAGAAGTCCCACCTCAACATGAGGAATAACTTCTTTCCATGAGGGTGGCAGAGCTCTGGAACAGGCTGCAGAAAGAGGCTGTGGAGTCTCTGTCCAAGAGAGGGAGCCTCCAAAACCCACCTGGATGTGTTCATGTGTCACCTGCTCTGGTGCCCCTGCCTTGGCAGGGAGTTGAACTGGATGATCTACAGAGGTCCCCTCCAACCCCAACCACCAAATTCTATTTTCAACATAGACCAAGTGACCAAAAGAGCCCAGAGCAGGAAAATCTCCTCACTGCTTTCACCCCACACTGTCCTGGCCATCGATGCCTGTGGAAAACCAGCAAGGCTCATACCAGCTCCTGCCCATCCCATCCCATCCCATCCCATCCCATCCCATCCCATCCCATCCCATCCCATCATCACTTGTCTTTGCTGAGCCATCCAGCAGCAGGAGAACGAAGCTCAAAGGTTTAATTACAATTGTTGACAGGGAAATTATGGCCACACATGGAAAATTAGAATATAATTGTATTAGGGAAATGTTTCATCTTCTCCCTGTCATCCCCAGGAGCGGAAGGCGGAGGGGGAGCAGCAGGAGAGGGATGATGTTGGCAGGAGGCCTCACAGTGAGGGGACAGGCTGGGCTCGGGGTGTTGGGGAATGACACCAGTCCCAAGGGCCACTGGGCACAGAGAAAATGCAGCAGAAGGTGGTTGGTGAATGGCTCCCTTTTACAGAGCAGTAGTGACGAGGCAACACTCGCCTTCCTTCACCCAGACCTGTAGAATGACTGGGGACAAGGCACGGAGGGACAATACACAGGGAATGGCTTCCCACTGCCAGAGGACAGGGCTGGATGGGATATTGGGCAGGAATTGTTCCCTGGGAGGGTGGGCAGGCCCTGGCACAGGGTGCCCAGAGCAGCTGTGGCTGCCCCTGGATCCCTGGCAGTGTCCCAGGCCAGGTTGGATCGGGTTTGGAGCACCCCGGGATAGTGGAAAACGTCCCTTTCCAGAGCATGAGGATGGAACAAGATGAAGTTTAAGGTCCCTCCCCACCCAAACTGTTCCATGATTTTATGAATCCATGTGCCTTGGACCAGCACCTCGTTGCCAGCCCACATCCCATCCTTGCTGAATTGTGGCAGGGGACATCCTCATCCCGGGATGATCCATCCCTGATGGCAGGAGATGACTTTGGTCAATCATTAAAATGCGGGCAATTATTTCCACTTTAAAAAAAAGAAAAGCCAAATAAAAGCTGAACGTGACAGCTGGCCCCACATCTGGCTGCAGAAGGGTCAGACACAGGGAAAGCCAAAACAGCTCTACTGACCAGGAGCTGCCTGAGCAGGGTAGGAGCAGCAGCTTTTGCCAGAGAGGGAAGCCCAGCTCCTCCAAGGTCCCTGTGCTGGGATCCAGGTGGATGCAGGGAGCTGAGGTGAACCCCTGCCCATATCTGCTGCAACCATGAGGCACATGTGTCTGTGCCTCTGCTCCTGCACCTCCTGAACCACGTGGAAGTGGGCAAAGCACCATCTCTCCACCCCCATGCCCCATCCCAGATCCTCTAAAAAACCCACTGGAGAAGAGGTGGGGGAAGGAGCTCCCAGGACCTCAGGGAATGATACAAACTCCCTCACCCCAGAAATCCAGGCAGACACATATTCCACAGCCCCATTGGCACCTTTGATCCCAAGCACCTGCCAGCTGCTTCCAAGTGCCAGCACCAGCTGCAACGGCCAAGTGGAAACGGGAGGGGAGGTGTGGAGTTCTATCGGTGACATGGACAGTGGGATCCAGGACACTCGGTGATACAGAGCTGGGGGGGCGGGTGGGTCATACGTTGGAGAGAAGGGAAGGAGAACCACAGGGACGTACACAGGCTGGAGAGGTGAGACTGTAAAAATCATGCAGTTCAAATGCAGGGTTCTGCACACAGGTCAGGGAAATCCCAAGCAAAATCACAGGCTGGATAAAGAATGGATCAGGACCAGCCCTGGGGAGAAGGATTTGGGGTGTTGGTGGTGAGAGGCTCAACCTGCCCCGGCCATGGACACTGACCCCAGAAACCCCCCCTGTGCTGGGCTGAGCCCCCAGCGTGGGCAGCAGGGCAGGGGGGGATTCTGCCCCTCTGCCCCGCTCAGGTGAGACCCCACCTGCAGAGCTGCCCCAGCCCTGGGGAACAGCAGCAGGAGGACGTGGAGCTGCTGGAGCCAGCCCAGAGGAACCACGGAGATGCTCCAAGGGCTGGAGCCCCTCTGCTCTGGGGACAGGCTGGGAGAGCTGGGGGTGCTCACCTGGAGAGGAGAAGGATCCAGGGAGAGCTGAGAGCCCCTTGCAGGGCCTAAAGGGGCTCCAGGAGAGCTGGAGAGGGACTGGGGACAAGGCATGGAGGGACAGGACACAGGGAATGGCTTCCACTGCCAGAGGGCAGGGCTGGATGGGATATTGGGAAGGAATTGTTCCCTGGGAGGGTGGGCAGGCCCTGGCACAGGGTGCCCAGAGCAGCTGTGGCTGCCCCTGGATCCCTGGCAGTGTCCCAGGCCAGGCTGGACATTGGGGCTTGGAGCATCCTGGGATAGTGTGAAGTGTCCCTGGCCATGGCAGGGGGTGGAACGAAAGGAAATTTGAGGCCTCTCCCCATCCAACCCACTCCGAGGCGACTCCAGGATGTCACACACGGACTCTCCATCCCAGTCCCGTTGCACTGTAGGGCCCGTCCGGTGCCGGGTCGCAGCCATGGAGGCCGGTCCAGGCCTCAGCCCTCTCAGGTGACCCCACAGGGGGGTTGCCCCGGCCCCCAGCGCCGCGGAAGGTGCCCCCCCAGGTCTCCCTGAGGGTCCCACGGGGCAGCGGCTGAGAGGCAGCAACTGCCGAGCGGGGGCTCCCTCAGCGGGACCCCCAGGGACCCCGGCCCTGCCCCGCTCGGGGCCCCGTCGGCGGCGCGGCGGGAGCTGCGGGAGGCGACGGCAACCAGCGGCAACCCCCGGTCCCCGCCCCCGCGCTCGGTGGGCGGGGACCGCGAAAATCCGCGCCCTGGGTGGCCGGATCACCTGCCAATCACAGCAACAGAGCCTTCTAATTGGTCGAGGTCCCGCTGCTTTATCATTCCATCTCGCGGAGCTCCCGTGTCGTCACCGTCGCTACTCTGCCGGCTGCCCGTGCCCCTCCGCTACGAAATATAGTCCCCGCTACGGGGCTGCCCCCGCCGCCCCAGCGCGGCCCCGTTCCCCCGCTCCGGTGCGGCCACGCGCGTTCCGGTGCCGCGAGGCGCGCGCGGGGCGCATCGCACCCCCGCTCCTCGCTGCTCGTACGGGCGGCGGAGGGATACGGCGGGGGCGGGGCGTGCGGCCGCGAGTCGTGAGGGCGTGCGGGGGGAGGCGGCAGAGGCGGGCGCCGGGGGGGCTGCGGGGGGAGACGGCGTCGCTGCCGCCGCCGCGGGGAGAACTATGGGGGGACCGCGGGGCGGGCGGGCAGGACAGCGGCGGGAGGCGGAGCGGTGGCGGCAGCAGCGGCCCCGGCGGCGGCAGCAGCAGCGTTAGGGCCCGGCCCGGCGCGGGGCGGGGCCGCGGGGCGGGCCGGGGCGCACGCGCCGCCCGGTGCGGGGCGATCGCGCCGCTTCGCTACATTGTATCCGCCGGCGGCGGAGAACAATAGGTGCCGCCGCCGCCCCCGGGCCTGGGCGCCGCGGCCGCCCCCGCCCCCGCCGCGACCCCCGACACCCTTCATGCGCTTCCCCTGCCCCGGGCGCGCCGGGCCTGGAACAGGTAAAAAATAAAATAAAATGTAGGAATAATAAAATAATAACCAAGCCAACCCGGCCGCGCCGCCCTGGGGCTGCGCGGAGCGGGGGTCCCGGTGCTGCGAGCGCGGGGCTGCCGGTGTGGCGGGGCTCGGAGCGCTCGGGGTGCGGGCGCGGAGCGGGACGGGACGGGCTCGGCGCTATTGTCCCCTCGGCAAAGTTTGCCGGGGCCGGGGGAAGGGGGGCGTGCGGGCCACCGGGAGGGAGTGCGCGGGTCCCCGCCGGGGAGGGGGGCCCGGTGCTCGGTCCTGCTGCGAACTTCAGCCGAGCACAGCCCGCCGGCCACCCCCGGCCCGCCGCAGCCCCCCCGGGGGTCCCTGAGCCCCTTCCCGTCCCGGGGGCTGCGGGACCCAGCGCGGGGGCAGCTGCTTCGGCTGCCCACCCCCGGCAGGGAGGGGGCTCGTGGGGGCCGCTTCGCCTTCCTGCGCTCCCCGGGACCCCCCTCCCTACGGCGCGGCCGGGGGGCAGCGAACAACTTTACCCCCGGCCCGCGCCCGTCCCGGGGCAGCCGTGCCTTTGTCCGGGCCGGGGAGGGACCCCGGGGGCGCGGGGACATCTGGGAGGGGGTCCCGGCCCGGCGCCCCAGCCCCGCGGACTGCTTTGGTGTCAGAAAGTGTGCGTGGAATAAATAAAAATAACTCCCCCAGCCTGGCTTTGGGGCGGCCAAGGGTTTTGTTCACGTTGTCCCCGGGTGCCTCAGGGCTGCAGGGTTTGGGAGGCTGGGGAGAGATGTACCCCCCTCCCTCCCTCCTTCCGCGGCTTCTCCGGGGTCTTGTGTCCCCCAGCCCCACTCGAGGCACCGGGACAGAAGGTTGGGAAAGTCGTTTTAAAAACACTGACCAGATGCACTGATGACACTTTGAAAAAGGCTTTTCAAAGAAAATGAAAATAAAAATTAAAAAAAAAAGAAAATTATCGGGCTTTTTTTTATAGTGGTGAAGGCTTTTTACATGCTGGGCTGATTTCAGCCTTTTTTTATGAAACTTCATTGAAACATAGTGGCTGAGCCTACAAACACTTTGGATCATGTGGAGTTTTTTTTTTATTTTTACTTCTTTTTTTTCCTTAACCTTACGATTAATGAGTTAAATTTATTGGCCAGCTGCCCTTTGTAACCATGAATGAGTTCCTAAAAAAAAAAGGCCAAAAAAAAAAAAGGAATCTTTTATCTCATCCCAGGCCTCTCTTCCTCCCTCCCAAAGAAATATTTTTCTATCATAGCAAGCTGGCCAAAAAGATCAATCTCCCTTTTGAAAAAAAATAATCTGTAAAATTAGGAAGAATAATATTTACCTATCTTGTAAGGTTGCCTGGAGGGCTTTATTTTTGCAAAAACACTCCGAAAACAAGAATTTTTTGTTACCAGTCCCTTTTGGGAGTGGAGAGGTTCAGTTCTCACTGAGCACGGCCTGGCTGGGCATCCCCAAACACAGCCCCTGAAAAAGCAGCTGCAGGTGCTCGGCGACCCGAAGGAAAGAGCTGTAACATCAGACTTTTTTTTTTTTTTTTTCACTTTTTTTTTTTTTTTTTTAAAAAAAACTCGGCAAGGACAAGAGAGCCTCCTGCGGGGAGCAAGTGTGGGGGAAGGCGAGGGGGCGAGCCGAGCCAGACAAGCGCCTGAGTGATAACTTGCCTGAACCCTTTGATAAATGAGTTGACTCTTTTTTTTTTTTCTTCTTCTTTTTTTCCCCCCTTCATTCGCCACACGCCAGGAACAGAATTGGCCTGAACTAGTGGAATTGGCAGCAAAAAACTAACATACAAGTGTGTCTGGTCAATAGAACGCTTGTTTCTGCCGCTGGGTGCTGTGTGAGGACTCCGACTGTGCTCTGGCCCGAGTTGGATGCTGCAGACGCGCTCAGGGTTTTTCTTTTCTTGCCCCTCCGCTCTGTCTTTTTAAAAATATTCATCAATGGGGTGGGTAGTTTGCTGTAGTCATTAAAATATCTCTCTCCCCTCCCCCTCGCTTTCTCCAGGACTGCCACTGTTGAGTCTGTGGGAATATGAATCAGCAGCAGCAGAGAATGGCTGCAGTTGGGACAGACAAAGAGCTCAGTGACCTGCTGGACTTCAGTATGGTGAGCGAGCGCGGCCGGGGGGCTGCACAGCCCCGGGGCTGGGAGCTGCACAGGGGAGGAAATGTGAGCCTGTAAATTGGACATGATGGGTTTCAGATGTGCCGTGTTTGTGTGCGTGCACATGTGCTGCAACTTGTTTATTTTCAAGTTAAAGCAAAGCCTCTGCCCCTCCTCTCCCCTCTTCCCCTCAAATGTGTGTTGTTCCCTCGCAGGAAAGGCTTTCTGGAGGTTTCTTTTCTGGATGGGAAATTTTGGGGGAATTAATAGAATTATGTGTTCTCTGTTGAAATGCTCACTGGGTGACTGTTTCTGCAGCCATGCAGAGATGTAACTTCAGTAGCTGATTAATCAAGCTTTTTTCCTCTCCCTAGATCCAGACTATTAAACTTTTGCTCCCACAGATTATTTTGTCACAGTTTGAAACGTGTCCAAGCTCTCCAGCATATTATTTTTGCAGGAGTTGGACACTTGTGCTCCCCATGCTCTGCTCTTCTGTATCCTGGAAACCTTGAGCTGCATTTAGGAGCTGTTTATTTTCAAAGAAATAGGACCTAAGAGTTCCCCCCCTGAAGGGTGTGCACAGCTCTGAGGGAGGAGAGGTCCCTTTAGTCACAGCAGAGCAGGGTTAGTCCCTGGCACATCCCTCAGTGGCACTGCCAGCGGTGCTGCCTCTCCTTGGCAGGTGACTCGTGGAGGGCAGAGCTGGTGTTCAAAGGCAAATAACTGTCTGTTGTGTTCCTCTGTTGTGTGCTGCACCCTCATGGCACTCAAAGTGTGTGTCTTGCTGTCGAGATAAGCAAACGTGCTGCAGAGATAGAAACAACAGCTCCAGGAGGGGGAATGGCCGTAAGAGTCACCCCAGCCTGGGTCACCCGGCCCACAGCCCTGCTGGGCTGATGTTCCTGCCCCTTGGAGGACAAGGGACAAAAAGTGGTGGCGGAGCTCGGGTCACCTGCTGTCCCAGTGGCTGTGACACCTGTGGATGTGCTGAGGCTCATCCACTTTTCTGCATCCCCATGCTGAGGTTCAGCCTTGGGAAATAAACCTTTTTCTACAGCTGGGGATTGTACCTGTCAGGGCTCTCTGCTGGAGGGGGGCAGGGAGGAGGGTCTCTCAGCTCTCCAAGAGCAACTCTCATGCAGGAGAGGCCCAGTTCTCCCAGTTTCATACTTCTGCTGGGAGGCTGTTTCTGTTAAATTGCTGGTAATTGACGTTTCTGATAGAGTGTTTTAAAGTGAGTACAGGGACTGCAGTGATGTCCCTGTAAAACCAGGAATCTGTTCAGGGCTTCCTGTGGTTATTTGTCCCTCTCAGAGATCCTGCAGGTTGGCAGGAGCCCTGGGCCTTTCCATCAACTGTCCTTTGGGTCAGTAACCCAGAATCTGCTCCCGGATAGGGGCTGCAGCAGTTCCCACTTCGCTTTTTCTCCTCCTTGGAACAAAAAACATCAAATCCCATTCACCATTTAGAGATTTTAAAAAACCCCAAGACCTTCTTTTCCAATTTAACCAACCATCGTGTTTTGCATGCTTAGAGCTGTACTCCCAGGAGGAGTCTTGACCCGGTCCCTCTATACACAAATGTTTCTGTCCTTGGACCTTACACCAAAAAGGTTAAATTTGGGTTTGGATTCAATGCTCTTCCACTGGTGTGGTTTTGGGAAGGATCACACCTCATCCTATGCTCCTCCAAGGCTGGTGCTGGGGGTAGCTGCTCACAGCACCAGGGCCTGCAAATGCCATTTGCCAGCAAATGACTCGAAGCTGTTCCCTGCAGGATCCATTGGCCGATGGGCTCCAGTGCAGCCTGGACTGCAGCCAGCTCTGTTTCACAAACCCTCATCTCTGCACACCCTTCTCCTCGCTTTGCATAAAGGGAATATTAACATCTCTCCTCAAGGATGAGGAGCTGAAATGAAAAAGCTTCCTAGACAGTAGATGGGTCTGTTGAAGAGGCGCTCCATGGTTTGCTCTCCCTGTGTCCTTGGGATACAGGATTTTTGACCACAAAGCTCACTCTTTCAAGTGTATTTATATTTTTCTTTGTATAAATAGGAGTGGAGCATTGGTTCAGTAATCCTCTCCAGGAGAGTAGAGGGGAGGGAAAAATAGAGATACTCAGAGCAGCTGGAAGCATTTGCTTCAGATCAGTATTTTGATTCCTTTTTTCTAGAGAAAATGTGTTCAGCCCCAGCAGTCTGTGGTCCAGCCCTGCACTGTGTTTTGCTGTGCAGGGAGGGAATTTTAAAGCCCTAAGGGGGTGGCATGGCCTGCCATGAGTTCCCAGGGTCGGTAAATGACAGGGTTATGTGAGATATGCAAACTGGGCTTGCAGTCCTGAAAGAAGAGACTCATCGCCTCTTTAATAACTGAATCCATTAGGTAGATACTGAATTCCAAAGCACTCACCAAAAGCTTTGTGCCACTGTAATTTGACAAAAAGGGCAAAAATCAAAGGAATGTGTAAGCGAGCAGGAGTCAAAGGAAAGGCCCAGTGATGCTTTGGGGTGTGCATGGCAGCACACTTACCTCTACCCCCAGATAAATTGCCTTTTCTAATTGCCCCAAAGTGCAGGTAATTTGTAAGCCTGCCTTCACCACTGCTCCCTGGCATCAGGCCCAGATGGGCTGGCAAATCCAGAGAGGAGCTTTTGAGAAAGCATCCTGCCTATAGACCTGAGTGGGCAGCTCAGCCTATTGATTAGGCTGGGCTTTGGTGGCTGCAAGGCTTTGCAGCTTAGCCTGAAGGGCTCAGGCTGTGTATGGAGGGAACTGTCCTTGGCCTGTGCTGTCGGGAGATGTTCAACCACGAGGGCTTGGATATGAGGAAAAGGTTCTTTCCGAGGGTGCTGGGCACTGCCCAGGCTCCCCAGGGAATGGTCCCGGCCCCAAGGCTGCCAGAGCTCCAGGAGCGTTTGGACAGCGCTCTCAGGGATGCTCAGGGTGGGATTGTTGGGGGGTCTGTGCAGGGACAGGGGCTGCACTCATCATCCTTGGGGGTCCCTTTCCACTCAGGGTATTCCAGGATTCTAGAACTTCTCATGGTTACTGGTTATCCCAGGCAGTGTCTCACCTGTGCTAGCGCTGGTGTGCAGTGGGAAGGTGTCACACAGGTGTCCTGGCTGTGCTGGGCTGCTCTGAAGGACAGGGACACCCCAGGCAGGGGACAGGGGAGCAGAGCAGCCCCGGGTGTGTCGGTGGCACCGAGCAGCAGCCGATCCGGGAGCTCTGGCAGGAGCGAGGTGCTGTTAACAGCCATGATTATTAGCAGAGTATTCACCATATGCTGCGGGAGCTGCCTGGCACAGGGGGTTTCTGGCTCGGTGCAGGGTGGGCAGGGGCTTGAGCAGTCACACAGGACCTGCCGCTCACTGCTGTGCCCGCGGCTGCTCCCGCTGCACCGCGGCTCCCGCGGCTCCAGCCCCGCATCCGGGGGCGGGAGCCAAACTCTTGGCAGCAAACGGGGCTGGAGCAACGCCTGCTGCTCCACTGGAGGATGCTGAAGCCGTGCCCTGCTCCGGCCACAAGGCCCAACACCTGTATTTCCATGATAAAACTCTGAGTATTGTTCAGAGCAAAGCAGTTGTGGAATGTAAAGTTTGACTTCACGCACAGTGGGCATTTGGGGCTGTAGTAGAAGGTCTGTCTTAAGTGAACATGTATAAAATGTCCTGCTGGCAATGTATTTTGAGCCAAATTCCCTCTTCTCCCCGAATTAACGGCTAGATACTTTCCATGCTGCAAAAAAGATTTCAGGTTTGGAGTTCAGGCCTGAGGCTGAACCAGCCTGGGGTTCATCAGGTGGGAGAGGAGAGAGAGCGAGCACTGATTTAATTTGAAGAGATGCACTTCTAGATGTACACAATAAATGAAATGCTGCTTGATGCTCCTCATTTCTGGCAAATTCCCTTTCTTCCTTAGCAGTTTGTTGTATGAAGTGTGGGGTCTCTTGCCTATAACCTCCTCAGGGGAGGGTGCAGGCACTTGGATCTTCCCATGCTTTGGATTTGCCTCTTTTACCCAGGATGAAATGGAGGGAGAACAAATTCTTTAAGAGGAGTGGAAATTAAGCTAGGTGGGACGCAGAAGTTGTTGTCAGCTCCCAGGGAGGCTGGAGATAGGGCTTGAAAAAGCAAATACAGTGACTTAAGATAGGGGATTTTACATAACCGTTTAAATCTACATTATTCAAATCTAACAAAAGCCAACTAATGACCCAATTACAACTCTTGAGAGCTCATGCCTGGGTCCCTCCTCAATGCCTGGGTCCCCTGGTAGGTGCCATCTCTGGTTCATCTCCTCCCTCCCCCGAGTTTATTTTTAAAGCAGCATTTAAAAGCAGAAAGGAAATTTGCAGTGGGTGGATGAACTTTGCCTCTGAGCGACACACGCCAGCGAAGGCACTTCATGTATGACTTGTGCCGGGCTCCTCGGGGCAGCTTCAGCCCACACCACAGTGGAAAAAGAGGCTGGGAGCAAGAAAAAAGCCCAAAACACCTCCTGAGATTGGCAAGTGATAAGTGTGGAGGGGTACCCGGGGTTCCCTGCTCCCCATCACCCTTCTTTGACAGCATGAGGTTGTGCCAGGGCTTGGCATGGAGCTCAGGGAAAGGTTCTTCCCCCCGAGGGTGCTGGGCACTGCCCAGGCTCCCCAGGGAATGGTCCCGGCCCCAAGGCTGCCAGAGCTCCAGAAGCAATGGACTCAGTGATCCCTGCGAGTCCATTCCAGCTCTGGATATTCCAGGATTCTGTGCTTTAGCATCTCCACTTGCCCTCTGCAGGAAGGGGTCCATGACTCCTAAATCCCCTGGGGAGTGAGAGCAGGAAGATGTTGCATCAGCCTCAAAATCTCTCTCCAGGCACTTGGAGGAGGGGAGGGGTCTCTGGGCTGCAGGGGGTGTTTGGGGGTGCTGGACATTGCTGTCCTGGGGGAACCCTTCTCCTGTTCTGCAGAAGCAGAAGGTGCTGGGTGCACAATGGAACAAGGCTGTTCCTTTTCTCCACTCGTGTTTGCTGCTCAAACCTTGGGTTTTTCAGCCTCAGCAAGTGCTGAGCAGAAATACTCATGAAAAGAGCCGGCACTGACGTTTACTTAAATTTTTCTTTTTGTTTGTTTGGTTGGGAGGGGATTTTTTTGTTTTGTTTTGTTTTGTTTTTAGTTTGGTTTGGGTTTTTTTGTTTTGTTTTGTATATGTGAGTGTGATTTTTGCTGGTCAGCTCATGGTGCATCCCTACCCCCTGCTCACATATGCAGACCTGCCTCTTGCCACTTGGCAAAAATGGAGTTTGATCTCAATCTTCTTCCCTACCTTGAGAAGAGGGGGTGAGCACAGCTGGGGTGGGATCAGCCCCGTGAGTTCCATTTTCAGCACTTTTGGAGATGTTTGCAGAGCCCCCTCCTGCCCTGCAAGGGGGAGGGGGGCACAGGGAAGCCCTGCAGCGGTGCAGAGGAAGGTGAGCTGCAATCTTTGGGGTTTGTTTTTATTTTCTAGCCCAACTTCCTGAGGAAACAAAGCTTATCCGATGGTGGGGCTGCTGGGCCACCCCAAACACCTCAGGAGCCCCTGGGGTGAGCAGCAGCCTCGGGGCACATCCGAGGGGGCCAGGGGGCCGTGGGCAGGCAGGTGAGGGCAGGTGTGTGCAGGCAGCCGGGGTGAACACTTAACACTGTTTACACCTTCATTTAAATCCGTGGATAAAACACCTACACCCTGTGCATGCATATATATGATCCCAAATTTGTGCTCTTTATGAATGGCAGTTGGTTCCTTAACTGCTCTCTTTGCATCTCTACCACATTAAGTGTTTTTTGTTGGTTTTTTTCTCCTCCCTAGCATTTGTGAAAACAAAGCTGGGCAGACGGTTCTGTACAAAGGAATGTTTCTGACCACAGCCAGACATCAGCTATGTCAGGGCATGAAACGCTGCCTTTCTGTAGGCTCTTGTGCCGTTGCATTGTTTAATCTTCAAAGCATTAAACTTTTGAGTTACTCAGACATTACGAAGCTAAAAATAATAAAAATTCAAATGACTTGGTGGTGAAAGTATCTTGAGTAGAAAAAGGATATTAAAATGTTAATTCACTAAGCGTTTTCCCACCAGTTGTTTTATTGGCTGGAGCTCCATTTGTGTGGAGGAGAATTAGTTTTCTTTTCTGCTGCACGCAGGTGCATGTAAATTATTAAATAGCAGCCTCTGAAACTCTCCCAACTTTTATTAAAAATATTTATACAGGTTAGGTGACGAGGTGTGCAGTATTTTTGAGGAAGCTCCTGGCAGGAGTGGCTCGGTTGTGATAATGAAGCAGCAGCGATAGAGCAAACAAGTCCCCAGAGCGACCAATTCTCTAAAATATATTGATTTTTTAAATCATGAGTAAGTGTATTTGCCCTTGGAGCAGCTTGGAGCAGGGCTGTGTCAGGGCCTGGTGCTGCTGGAAACCCCATAGCTGCAGGGTGGGAGCTGCTCTATGAGGCTGAGGGCTCATCCTTGAGCCCTTGTCCTGCCCAGGCACTGCACGTGGCTGGAGCTGTGGGATGGGACCAGGGCTCCTGTGGGAGCTGGGATAGTGAGGGATAAAACAGCTTTGCTGTCATTATCCCACTGGCATTTTATGAATGGAGTTGGCCTTTCCTCAGAGCTCACCTGTAGCTAGGGTGAGCAATTTTAGGATGAAACTGTTGGTTTGGATCACAGCAGAGATGCTCCTGGCTGGTTTCCAGCTGCCCCTGCAGAACCGGGGTTGTGCAAGTGGGGATGTGTGTGAGGGCAGGGCTGTGCTCACTCCTGTCCCTGCAGAATTGTGCACATGGGGATGTGTGTGAGGGCAGGGCTGTGCTCACTCCTGTCCCTGCAGAATTGTGCACATGGGGATGTGTGTGAGGGCAGGGCTGTGCTCACTCCTGTCCCTGCAGAATTGTGCACATGGGGATGTGTGTGAGGGCAGGGCTGTGCTCACTCCTGTCCCTCCTGAGCCATGGAGCAGGGACACCAGGAAAGGTTTTTGCATCAATAACAGGCTGCCTTCCCTCCTCCCCTCCCCCATTGTGACCCCTTTGCAATAGCACAGTAAAACCAACATACTGAAATCTCTTTTCTCTTCCCTTCTCTCTCATCTCCTTGTTTTTCTAGATGTTTCCCTTGCCAGTGGCTAATGGAAAAAACAGACCCACGACCCTTGCGAGCACTCAGTTTGGAGGATCAGGTACTGTCATCTTACTTTTTTTTCCCCTTATACCATAATGTTTCTTGCAATAAATTTGCTTCCAGAGATGCCATAGGGGAGGGGGTTCTGTATTTTGGTGATGTATTTTTTGGTGGTGCTGCTGTTTCTCTGGATGGTTTCCTTGTTACTCCCTGTGTCTCTGGGTGGGCAATGCTGCTCTTGCTGAGCTGTCTCCCACTAAGATGTTGCTGCCTGAGCTGGAGGTTGTTGTGCCACTGCTCCAGGAGCCTGGGAGCAGACAGGGCTGGTCTCTAAGCTGCTCAGATGTGAATGCACTGCCCTGGAAGACTTTTCCTGTTCCCCTCTGAAGATAGGGTAGTGGTGGCTCATTCCTGGTTCACTTTGGGGGTCTGCTTCATGCAGCCCCTCCAGCAGCTCCCTGCTGTTGGGTGGGATCTCAGCATTCCCAAAAGGATCTTGCAAAGCCCTCCAGGCTGCAAAGAGGGGACCAGGGATGCTGACATCCAAGGGCTTAGGGAGCAGGGCAGTGAGGAGGAGTGGGCTGGAGAAGTGGCTGCAAGTGGAGGCTGAAAGTGTGCTGGTTGGTCTGAGGCTCAGGTGGAGGATTCCTGGATGGTGCTGGGCCAGGGTTTTACTGCCCAGGGAAGCTGCTCTGTGCAGGGCTCACACAGCCCCTGGCATGAGGGAAGTTCAGCTAATTGGCCCTTTTTGCTGAATACTTTGTGGATGGTTAAAGACCTTTCCCTGCCCTGGGCTGGCTCCAGCTGTGCAGGGAAACTCCTGGCTGTGCTGTCACACTCGGAGGCATCCCAGAGACTGGGCTGGGATTTCTGGAGAGCAGCTTTAATGCCCCCGTGGGGCACTAGGGAACCTGCAGCAGTGGGATGGGGGCTCTGCCCTGCCCTGCCCTGCCCTGCCCTGTCCTGCCCTGCTCGTGCCCTCCTGGATCAGGCAAATGTGATGCTCTCAGACTGAGCTGTTTAGCTGTGTGTCAAGATGGTTTTGAGCAAACACTTTTGCAGGGAGGGAAGCTGTTGAGTGGGTGCTGGAGGAAATCGGAGGGGAGAAAACTCTCGGGTTAACCCAGATGGAAGCTGATCTCTCCAGTGAGTGTTTCTTGTGCTGTTAAAATAATCCACAAAAGACGTGCTACACGGTGGGGGGAGAAAAGCAGTGCAGGAGCTCCCATTAATCCGTTTCCTGCTCAGAGCCTGCCTTGGCTGCCGGGTCCGTGGTGCTGGCCAGGAGCAGAGGCTGGAGCGGGGCCCTGCGGCACAGCCGGACCCCCCTCCAGCCCGAACGACACCAAATCTTTGTTTCTCCCCCCACCCCTTCTTTTCTTTCGGGTGAGTGAAAGGTAATGTTGACACCACCCTTCCTCTGGGCTGCTGCTCTGAGCCTGACTGGGAGCAGTTCATAAAAACAGAGCACTGATGTTATACAACTGCACTGAGGGACGTTGCACAATCCCTGCTGTCCCAGCCTCGGACACAGCAGAGGCTCCCTCATTCTGCCACAGGCATCCTGCCTTGGGAATGCAGCTCAGGGCTGCGTGTAGGGCAAGAGCTTTGCTCCAGCAGCAGTTATCCCTTGGTCAGCCATTCTTGGTCTCACCTGGAGATTAGGGGACAAATTTAATTTAAGTGTCAGCTTTGGGACTTCTCCCTGCTCCTGCATCTTTGGCTTTTTGCTGGTGGGGTGAGTAACTGCAGTAAGACATCAGCGAGTTGTGCCATGCAGGGGCTGTGCTCTGCCTGTTAGAAGGATCCAAGGTGTCTAAACAAGGGTCTGCAAAATGGCAAGAGGTTGTTCTCACGGATTGTTGGTTTAGCTTTATTCTCTGGTGCAGTCAGGCACTAATTGGAATTGCAGAATCACAGAAGGCTTTGTGTTGGAAGGCACCTTAAAGCTCATCTTTTTCCACCCCCTGCCATGGCAGGGACACCTCCCACTAGTCCAGGTTGCTCCAAATCCCTTCCAACCTGGCCTTGGTCATCCCCTGAGGTAGCTCATCTTCCAAGACACAGGCAGTCATTCAGCTCAAAATTTGGTTTGGAGTCATCATTAACCTTGATGTAGTCAGAGGGTGAAGAGCAGATGGTCCTCGAATTTGGGGATCTGGACTTGCAGGGGGAGCAGAGCACCTCACAGCCACACCATAACCTGGACCTGGAGGGGATCACCCTAAATCTTGCCATGCAGGAAGGCCTGGGCTGCTTCTTTAATGTGCCTCGTGTGTTCCCAGCACTTCTCAGTCAGGGGCCTGGACCAGCAGCAAAGGCAGTGCAGCATTTCCCCTCTGCCTGCAAAGGAGAAGCAAACACTGATTTGTCTGAGTCTTAGCTCGGTGCTGTGCACCACAGTGCCAGGATCTCTTTATTTGGGCTTATTGTGGTAACCTCAAGTTAAGAAACTAATGTTGTCTCATGTGCCAGAAATATTGGTGTTTTATCCTTCTGACCACCCAAGATGGGAGCCTGTCACTGGGTTGGTGTAATTGGGTTGGACATGGGAACTCGTTTTCCCCCTCTCTTCTCATCTCTTTGTGGAAGTGCTGGGGCAGTGTGCAGCTTTTCTTTTTCTCCCCCTCCAGAGGAGTTTTTATCTCCGGGCTCCTTTCTTCCCAGGGAATTAAGGAGAGAAGGGAGCAAAGCACTGACTGATCAGTCCTGGCCAAAATGAGATTCTTGCTTCCAAAGTCTAACTGGTAAATAAAGGAGCAGAAGCATTTGAAACAGGGAATCCCAGTGACAAAATTGTCCCAAATTCGGAATTTCTTTACCAGATGTGTTGCTAACCATTGGCAGTGCTGGAATCACTATCCCTAGAAGTGTTCAGAACAGGTGTTGATGTGGCACTTGAGGACATGCTTTAGTGGTGAACATGGTGCTGGACTGACAGTTGGACTTGAACATCCTAAAGATCTTTTCCAACCTTAACAATTCTATATTTCTAATAACTGCCCTGGCCAAGCTACTGGTGGCCCCTTTACCAAGGGACCCCCTTTTTCTCTCCCAGGCCAGAAAAATTCAAAGTGTTCATGCAAACCCTCCAGCTTTGAGATCCCTTTGCTTTCCTATTTGCCTCCTGCTTTTATTTTAAGCCCTGCCACTGTTTCTCTCATTTCTGTCCTCAAATGCTCCGGGGAGGAACTGGTTTCGCTCCCCCGCCGCATGGACAATTCAGCACCTCCGCTTTGCCTTTTCTTGGCAAGGACAGACCCAACAATTGCCACAAGGATGGAGCTGACGTCACCCAGCCCGTGGCTGCAGCATTTATAGCACATATAGGTCACCGCGGGAAGTTGGTCTTCCTGGGGCTGGGAGCTGCAGCCAGTGTTTTCCAGCATGGGCTGTTTGCTGCCAGGGTTTTATTTTAGCCAGGGTGCTCAGCCCGTGCCTGTTTTCTCACTCCTCAAAGGGGTTCACCGTCCCCTCTCCAAAAAGTGTTTGTTACTTGCAGTAGCAAAACATCTCAAAGCGTGTCCCCCGTCGTATCATAGTTCATAAATGACTAATCTGAGCTGCAGCAAGCTCCCTCCCAGCGCTTCATTGAGCCCTGCCTAAAGCAGGAAACCACTGGGGCTGAATTTCACATGGAAATGACCACTTAAATTGACATCGAGGCAGTGGGAGTGGCCAGAGGCAGCAGAGTTTTGCTGTGGCCTCGTGGCTGCTGAGTTCTCGGCAGGGTTGGTGCATGCTGGCTGCACCTTTGCTCCAGCAAAGGGGTTTGAGCTCTGCAGAGCAGGGAAATAAACCTAAGGCACGTGGTTGTTTGAGGTAAAACATCTCCTGGAGCAGCACACAAGCAGCACTTCCACCTGTGGGTAATGTGGAGGGTGTGCAACCATCTCCCTTCCCATCCCAAATGGTGTGGGGTGCCAGGACTGTGGGGTCCTGATGGGATGGAAGCCATGGGGTCTCCTGCTGACAAATTATTCTGCTCTCAACAAGAAAAACCTCTTGATAATTTTTTTTTCTTTTCGTCCCCTTTTAAATAAGTGAATTCAGCATTAAGTTCCTTTTCCTCCATGCTTTGTTCCAGCAAAGTGGGTTGGGCTCTTTGCTTGGGCTCTGGGGTGGTTTTGGGAGGGAGAGTCCCCTCCTGGCCCGTGCTGTGATTCCCACCCCCAAAATTCGTTGGGTGCTTCCTTGCTCCTGAGCTGAGGCTCCCTGTGAGGGAATTGCTTTGATCGGGGGAAGTTCATCAAGTCCATTTGAAGCTGGTGAAGCAGGGAGTTTTTCAAAGGGTTACAAGCTGGTGCTTGTAACAAATTTTAAGTTATAGTCTGGTGAACAAAGCAAATGGATTCTCCCTGGAGGGAGGCGAGCCCGGATCCCCTTTGAAACTGGCTTTAAACAACGCACAAACTTGGATACCTGTGGCAACAGCACCGAGAGTCATAAATTCTCTGAAAGCTGGGGTTGTCTCTTTAATTGGTGGTATGGGGGAGCTGTTTGAAGGTTTAATTATTTCGAGTGTGCAGGCAGCCCTGTGTTGGGAAGCTCCTAGCGGGATGGGCAGGGTCTGGTGTAGCAGGATGGTGCTGGGCTCCCCTCGGCTCCTGGAGCTGGGTGGTTTGCAGGGACACCATGGCAGCAGGGCTGGGAAGAGCCAAGCACAGCATTTCTGTTGCCATGCTGTCAGCAGTTGAGTCCCAGGCTGCAGAAACCCATTTGCAACTGTTTTCCATAGTGAGGAAAGCAGGAGCTTTTATTAGCAAGGCTGTATCACGTTTTCCTACTAACTGCCTCGAGTTCCCACATGTTTTGCTTATGCTGAAGTGGGAGTGCTTGCTATTTTGATGGATGATGAAAGGCAGACATGAGGTGTGCAATATGGGACTTGATATTTAGAACTGGCACTTCCCGTTCAAGTTTGGGATCCGGGCTGCGAGTTTTTGTGGCGTGCCCATGCAAACTGTCACCAAACACACCAAACACAAAGCCACCACAACTGAAAAAGGCAAAGCAGGAAAATTCACTTGCCAGGCCGTTGGTGTGACCATTTGTTTC